AATTTTTTTCGATACATAGAAAAAAATACATGGGAAAATTGGTAAGCCAAGAAGAATTAATCGGAACTGTTTTAAAATGACAAATTCAAATAATACTTTCTTAATATTTCTCATTTATATGTTAAATGAATAAAAAATATACATTATCATAAGGGTCATTAACTGCATGCATATATATATATATATATATATATATATAGAGAGAGAGAGAGAGAGAGAGAGAGAAAGAGAAAGAGAGAGATAGAGAGAGCGAGAGTGGATGAAAGAGAGAAGAATATGTGAAAAGCGAAGAAATTAAATAATCTTCAAACAGGACTCCACAAATTGAGTATAAGAATAATCTTTTTTCAAGTTGAAAGAAACAAATTATAAAGTTCCTCGCAAACAAAATTTCTACTAAAATGCTTTGTTTTTTTCTTTTTACAACACAGAAGAATACATCAGCAGCCATGTTAAATTCTCTACTACTTCTGCTTCTACAATTACGCATTGTTTATGTATTCGTTCGTATATTTTTGTAATATATCTGTGGAAACTGGTTTATGAAAATACTTTAAAAGCAAGAAATAATTTACAAAAAAAGGAAATTATTAATTAAATTATAGTGAAGACTGCAAATATTAATTTACGATACGTTTTTATAAGAAAAAATCAGATCACAGGAAGTTAAATGTTAGATTTACTAAACGAAGTTATGAAGTTTTATTGCTTAATAAAAAAATTTCCAATTTTTTTATTTTTTTGGGAGTGAAAATATTGTTAATCATTTTCCAGTTGTCAGCCTTCAATTTTTGTAACAAGCGATAAGGAAATCCGTTTGCTTTTTGAAAGCTTAAATGGTGTTAGAGATAATGTCACTGATTGGTCAATAAATGCTAATATGAAAATTTGAATTTGAAGTTCGTGTGAGCCTATTTTGCACAAAATTGAGATTTTACTGCTATTACTTAAATCTATTGAATATTTTTACAATTTTTAACGAGGTCCCCCCCATATGTGATAAAATATAGTTTTAAGGTATGCTATATTTATGGGTTAAAGTGCTATATATATATATATATATATATATATATATATATATATAGAGAGAGAGAGAGAGAGAGTCAAAAAATTAATTTAAATATCTATCTATCTATCTATCTAGATAGATAGATAGATAGATATATTTAAATTAATTTGTTGAGCCCTCTCTATATATATAAAGAGAGAGAAAGAGAGAGAGAGGTCAAAATAAATTTCTTTGTCTCTGTTTCTATCTCTGTCTGTCTGTCTGTCTGTCTCTTTCTCTCTCTCTCTCTCTCTATATATATATATATATATATATATATATAGAGAGAGAGAGAGAGAGAGAGAGAGAGAGAGAAAGAGAGAGAGTCAACAAATTAATTTTCAAAATGGATTATTTGTTTCCCTTGAACACGTTCGAGTTCTTTTTTTGATGTTTTTCAAAAAGGAATAATTCAGAATCCCGACATTTCAAAATAATTTAATTCTCTTTGTTTATTAATCCATTCACATACTTGAATAATTCTGTTATTCTACAACGTACCTATTTTAGTTAGAAAAAGACACACAGTTGGACGTCTTTATTTACACATGTATATTTCAAGACACAGTAAGGCTTCAATTCAGTTTAACTCCCTAGCGCCATAACTTATCAACTATCAGCGATTGAAGTGCTCATTTCACTATACAACATTGTACAGGGTGTGTCCCTAAAGTCTAGACACATAGGAAATCTCATGAACAATATTTTTTTTAACCTTCACAGATTAAACATGGTTTTATCGAAAGAAAATAGAACTGAGTCGTTTTTCTGGGGTATGCTAAAGAAGAAGGTGTACTCAGTGAAAATTACAGATGCAACACACTTGTTTGAATGCATAAAGAGGGAATGTGGTAAATTTGATGTCGGTGTGGAAGTATTGCGTCGAGTTCACGTGAATCATACAAAGCCCATCGACCTTTGCATCTCAAATGATGGAAATCATATTGAAGATGTCATTTGTTAATATTACAGCTCAATAAAATATTGTTGAAAATTTAATTTTTCAAAATTTGCATTTTTGCCTATGTGGCCAGACTTTAAGGACACCCTGTATTTCGTTCACAAACTAGAAGAATTACTGGAAAGGAGCTATAGTGATTTTCCAAGCGTAGCTTAGATGTGGCACAAGGTCGAAAGTAGGAGGTACCCAATGAAGATCAAACCCATCACTCAGTCGTAATTGTTCTAGCGAAACAAGCTTGCTAACTATTACACCGCCTGTCCAAATGGTATTTTTCTAAGGGTAACTTAGAAGTGACACAAGGCCGAAAGTGTGGGTCATCTAGTGAGGATAGCACTCTCTTTTCAGTCGTAACTGATCTAGCGAGACAAGCTTGCTAAACATTACACCACGTCGAGGCGCCTACAAAGGAACTAAGTACTGACCTGGCTCTACGATGCTTGACTTCGGTGATCAAACGAGAACTGGTGTTTTCATCGTGATTTAACCGTTATCATGGAAACGAGCTATAAATTTGCAAATGGGAAAAAGAGAGAGAGAGAGAGAGAGAGAGAGAGAGAGAGAGAGAGAGAGGAAGGGAAAGAGAGAGAGAGAGTGTTCTTCTATACATCTCAGATGACGTGACCCTTTCTTGATATCTTGATGAGCTAAGTGGGCGTGAAGCATCCCAGGAGGGGGCTTGAATCCTCATTTCTGAAAGATGAAAAAAAACATAACAATGTCATAAATTGTATTGTCTGAAACCAGAATAAGAGAATGCTGTTCGGATTTTTTTTTCTTGAGATAGCGGACAGTAGTCGAGATTGGGGAGGAAAGAGCGGATGTGCTGATCCTGTCAAATGCTTTCGAGTGTCGCTATCAAAAAGAGTTTTGATAAAACGAAAACTTGTTTCCCCCTATGAGCTTATCATAGTGGATAAATTAAGATCGATAAAAGATATTTATACAAACACCTCTTATATTCATGCGTCCGAAAACAGTCAGAGACAATAAAGTGATAAGCCATTAGAACACTGGTGACTGCGCATTTCAGGTTGACGCCATTAAACTTCCGGTTTTTCTCGAAATTGATGGTGGCGTTAAAAGTGGGTGATGGAAAAATGAATATTTTACAAGAATATAAAGCGACGCAAACAATAGACGAGTAAAAAGAGATAGGCGAAGGCACCACCCAAAATTAACCTCCAACCTGGGAATGTTTCTGATAGGTAAATGTTGAGATTGCGTTCCTATCAGTTAATGTTACGATTACTGTAGACAGCTATTGTCAGCAGTTAGAATATTTTAAAGGCTGTATTGAAAAAAGAAACCCATTTTGTGTCATTATCGGATGTGTGATCTTCTGTTGTTATCATAAAATAAAATAGCACTCTTTATACAGTCAAAATCATATCTGAATAAAATTGAAATATTCTGCTGTAAATAATAAACTGAATATGCACAGGGTGCGTATAATATGGAATGAACTGATATAAACATGCTTTCTATACCATGGATGAAACATATTTACAGGGTGTATTTAATTTGAATATATATGTACTGTTGAACATTCAATTTTATTTCTTGCTATTAATGCTCTGCTATTGATATTGAGCACTTTAATTACAAGGCAAGCTTGCCTTAAAACATTATCTGCCAGAAATACACTGGTCAACTGCGTTTATTTACTTTACATTTTTTGGGACACAAAATTTTTATAGGGTGCGGCAGTAATGCCTCCCACATTTTAGAGGTTCGCAAAAAGATGAAGGTAATAGCTATGGAAACATCTATTTTACTGTTATTTAAACACAGGGCTACGGTTTTTATTCGTTTTGTTTTAAAAATGAAATCCTACAAATGGTGGCCTGTGTTCGCCATACACTGTTGTGAACTATTTCTAAGGTTTTTCCATCGCCCGAAAAATCATTTCTGGTGGTATACCTGCCACTTTGTAGCGAATAGCATCATTTAATTATTAAATGCTTGCTCGTCGACCTCTAGACCTCAGCTTTCAAGTAACCATAGAGAAAATAATCGCAGTTAGCGAGATCGGGCAAGATCGAACGAGATCGAATAAGATCAAGGTAGAGTGAACGAAATCGAGCGAGATCCAATGAGATCTGGCGAGATCTAACAAATTGTAGATCAAACGAGATCCAAACGAGAACGAGATTAGGCGAGATCGAACGAGATCGGGCGAGATCGAATGAGATCGGGCAAGATCGGGCGAGTGTGCAGATTAACCAATGTCACTGCGTAAGGAAATCAAATGTCCTGGAAACATCTCTATCAGTGACTCTATTGATCTCGCTGTGTGTGCAATGTCTCCACCCTGTTGAAACTACACAACCAAACTCTCAGGGCTTTGGTTCCAGCAATATGTGCAGCATCTCCACATACCGGTCAGATGTTACTGTAACCGAGTGGCCTCCCTCCTTAGATAAGAAAGGGTCCCATAAACTGGAATAGACAAAGATCTACATGATGTCAGCGGCCACATCGACGGAAGAGAGTAGTGCCAGTCGGTCTAGGGTAACCAAGGTTGAGTTGATAGATCAAGCATCAGACAGCCCGATGCAAAAATGTTTGCCAGATCTCGCTTGTCTCAGTCCCATTTGAACCGCGAGGGAGCCACTTCTGGCCACGTGTGTGTGATTCTCCGTCGCGCAGAGTTGTTCAACAAAAAAGAAATTCACGCCAGTAGCCTCGTCAAATTGACTTTGATTTACAGCTATCTTCCACCACCGCCTCCAAGGGAGAGGAAGGGAATAAGAGAGGATGACGATCCTGATGCTCGGATGCAAAGCGAGTGCCGACGACAAATTGTATATATATATATATATATATATATATATATATATATATATATATATATATATATATATATATATATATATATATATTCAAATGAAATTATAAATATAAAATAATCCAATTTATCAATCACACCATTATATATTTATCTATCTATCTATCTATCTATCTATCTATCTATATATATATATATATATATATATATATATATAGAGAAAGAGAGAGAGAGAGATATATGTATACATGGTGCGATTGATAAATTATCATATATTTTATTTTGTAATTTCATGAATGTTGTGTTTATTTTTTGATTTTGTCGACTCCATATAATATAGTAGGGTCAGTTGGGCATTTCAGTGATAAAAAGAGCACAATTTTGATGTCAGTGTTGTTTACATTTTGCGTAATTTAGATAAAAATTTATCCATCGCAGCCTATATATATATGTGTGTATATATATATATATATATATATATATATATATATGAAAAAGAATTTTATTTTAATCTAAAATTTATATGTACGTTTGTCGAGCATTAATCTTTAAAGAAAAATTTGAAATATTAAAGAAGCCAATTCTAGTACTCACCGTGCGTGAGATAGATATGCCTGCCTCATAAATCAGCCTAAGATTTTTATTATGAATATATTTTAAAATCTTCACGAAATCAAAATCGAAATTATGATCAGATTTAGTTATGTGTACAAATAAAGCATTGTTTAAATTACCGATGCAAATATCTCGTTTACGTTCGAAAACACGAATATATATATATATATATATATATATATATATATATATATATATTTGTTGTGTGTGTGTGTGTGTGTGTGTGTGTGTCATTTGCCAGATGATTGTGTTTGGCATGAAAGAGACTGTCATCTCTGGGTGTTGACTTCAATGTCCATTTTTATATTTACATACGCTCTATCCCTTATACCACTTTAACCTATAATCATAACTTAACTTAAAACTATATTTTATCATATATATATATATATGTTACGGTGTTAGTATGTCACTGATTAACTAATGCCTCATATGGGCAGTGGAGAGGGAGATAACCAAATAGTCATTCTCTCTTTCCAAAAACCTCATTAGCTTCATAAAAGTGTTTTAATAAAGTTAATGATCTCATCTATGAAGACCGCCCCAAACAATCTACCAGTTCTTCCACGTGATTGGAATGACTTGAGGAATCTTTCCGATTTTTTTTAAAGGAACTTACTCGAACTATTTCCCATAATCGACATTTGAATGACAGACCAGAAAGAGTTGACAATAACAATGCTTTTAATAACTCCGAAATTATCGTTCATGCACATTCATCTTAAGAAAGTAAACTCTACAATTTTCTCCACCTTTCGTGCAAGTATATAAAACATACCAAATAAGGCGTGAAGATAGCTACACCAACGCTGGCAGAAACAACCAACCAACCGTCTCCGATATTACTGACGTGTAAATTGAATCCTCAGCCAACAATTTAAAAAATCTTATTTATATTTGAAGCTATTATGTGTTTACAAAATTTTCGTAAGAAAGTGTTTAATGCAATTTTCTTTTTTCAAAATGAGATTTTTTCAGAACTGATTATTCCTAATATATTTGCTGATTATCTGCTAGTAACAATGTATTTTGTTATTATTTGGTAACATTAGCCCTCCTGACAGGTTTTATAAATAAATCAAATTTTTATTTGAAATAATGGAATTAATAAATATTTACATTTTCAGGCAAACATATTGCCGCGGATGATTAAAAATATCTGGGTATTATATGATATTTCGTTCGATTTTGTATATAAAATATATATGCTATATAAATATTAAATTTAAATTAAATGATAAACCATTGTATTGAAATACTAAAAAATCTCTATAAAATATTTGTTTTGAACACAATTTTTTTATATTTAAAATATATAAATATTTTATACATCTTAATTTTAAGAAAATTGGTATATTGATAATGTAAAATGATATATTTTTCTATATGTACTGTTTATAAACAAGAATTTATTTCTATATTATATATATATTTTATTATAATTTGTTTTATATAGAAAATATATTTCATATCTATTTGTTAAAATATTCTATATCTATAATATATCTAAATTTTATGGATGAATGTTTTATTATATATATATATATATATATATATATATATATTATATATATATATGTATATATATATATATATATATATATATATATAAATTAATTGATTTAAAATATGTTTATTTTCGCTACACAGTTCCAACCATGTTTCAAAAATAGAAGCTAAAACCCTAATTTTATTTTTGCAAATAAATTAAAAGCATTAGTTCCATTTCATCTTCAAGCGAATTTTGGAGTAACTTTTAAAATTTACGGGTTTTAAAATACACAGCTAAAATCACGTTTCCATGGTTACAGAATATTCTACTCAAATTGAACACGGGGTGTCTAGATTTTCCTTATGACAGTATCATTGTATCAGTTATTAGCTACATTTTGGTAAGGGGTGAGGATGTATTTTACACTGAAACCTGACGTCAGTTGAATGGATGTCGTCTGAATTTTAAAAAAAAAAAAAAAAAAAAAAAATTGTTAACGGTAAAAAATTTTCAACGTCATTTTTTAAAATTAAAGATTTTTTTTTTTTTTAATATTTTTATTTAACTACGATTTGAAATATTTTCCTTTTTAA